AACCAATTATCATATTTTTACTGGCAAATGAGGTCCCAATAGTGTAGATGCTTGCCCCGAGCTCTCATACTCTGATGGTGCATTGTCCTTGAGTTGTGCGCCTTTTGGCGTCATCTGGTCCAACCCATATGAGACTAGGCTCGAAGGAAAGCTGTCTCGGGTGTGGACCAATCAACTTCAAGGACAGTGCACATTATCAGAGTTATGTTCTTTTGTTTGTATTATGACTGCAGGTATTGCGGTCTATGCAAACATGACTCCTTGCAAAAAGGTGTCAGTTTTGTTGCCAGATAGAAGGGTAAAGAACCAATTATCATATTTTTACTGGCAAATGAGGTCCCAATAGTGTAGATGCTTGCCCCGAGCTCTCATACTCTGATGGTGCATTGTCCTTGAGTTGTGCGCCTTTTGGCGTCATCTGGTCCAACCCATATGAGACTAGGCTCGAAGGAAAGCTGTCTCGGGTGTGGACCAATCAACTTCAAGGACAGTGCACATTATCAGAGTTATGTTCTTTTGTTTGTATTATGACTGCAGGTATTGCGGTCTATGCAAACATGACTCCTTGCAAAAAGGTGTCAGTTTTGTTGCCAGATAGAAGGGTAAAGAACCAATTATCATATTTTTACTGGCAAATGAGGTCCCAATAGTGTAGATGCTTGCCCCGAGCTCTCATACTCTGATGGTGCATTGTCCTTGAGTTGTGCGCCTTTTGGCGTCATCTGGTCCAACCCATATGAGACTAGGCTCGAAGGAAAGCTGTCTCGGGTGTGGACCAATCAACTTCAAGGACAGTGCACATTATCAGAGTTATGTTCTTTTGTTTGTATTATGACTGCAGGTATTGCGGTCTATGCAAACATGACTCCTTGCAAAAAGGTGTCAGTTTTGTTGCCAGATAGAAGGGTAAAGAACCAATTATCATATTTTTACTGGCAAATGAGGTCCCAATAGTGTAGATGCTTGCCCCGAGCTCTCATACTCTGATGGTGCATTGTCCTTGAGTTGTGCGCCTTTTGGCGTCATCTGGTCCAACCCATATGAGACTAGGCTCGAAGGAAAGCTGTCTCGGGTGTGGACCAATCAACTTCAAGGACAGTGCACATTATCAGAGTTATGTTCTTTTGTTTGTATTATGACTGCAGGTATTGCGGTCTATGCAAACATGACTCCTTGCAAAAAGGTGTCAGTTTTGTTGCCAGATAGAAGGGTAAAGAACCAATTATCATATTTTTACTGGCAAATGAGGTCCCAATAGTGTCTCTGTACGGCTTGTAGGTGAAAGGTAGAGAGTTGGCTCCGTACACACACCAGACCTTGCCCGCCCTCCGGCAGTGGCAAGGCCAAGATGCCAGCAGCCACACGGTGCTTCCTCTGTGACCAGAAGAAGGCAGCTATCATTCTCGGAAGTTTGGCTATCATGTATGCGGGTGGAGTGAGGGAAAAGAAGCAGTGCCACAAGGTGGATGCAATCAACTGGTTTACCACCAGGGGTTTTCCTCTGAACGTGAGAGATTTGCACAGGCGACCCCAAGGCTCCAGTCGTTTCCTCACCTTCTATTCCAAGAAATCCCAATTATTCTGCAACGTACTCTTTGGTTCTTTTGGTAAAGTCACGTAGGTAGAAACATAACATATATATTTTTTCTACCTACGTGACTTTACCCAAAGAACCAAAGAGTATGCATTCCTACAGTCACGAAAGCTTCAAATCAAGATATTCTGCAACGGTTTATCTCCAGGTCCCAGGAGCACGCCGAGATGATGAAGAAACTCTTTGCTTCACGTTATTGTTTTGGTCAACTCAGGGAACCGGGCTTCGTCCCACTCCCCAACAAGCAGACGACTGCACTTCTCCCAGTTCATCCTGGAGGAGGAGGCCGCACGGGAGTAAACCTCTTGGCACTCGTGTAGCTGTTCGATGTCGTCAAAGCTTCGTAAAAAGAGGAGAATGTCATCGGCATACGCTGTGAGAGTCACTCTCATACTGGGCTCCTTTAGAGTCAATCCGGTGAATCGGCGTCGAAGTAGACGCAGAAAAGGCTGCACGACGAGGGTGTAGAGCTGTCCTGACAGTCTTGCCTGATACCGCTTTTGAAGTCTATAAGAGCAATTAGTCTACCAATAACTTTGACTAGACACTGGGCCATGTTGTAGAGCAACCTAATTAATCCTATGGAGCTAGTCCAAAAACCAAAAGCTTTTAGAGGCCTTGTTGCCAGGTATGTTCACTTTCCAAGCAGTTATTTGGGTCAGGATGTACCTGATCCTTTTCCTTTATTTTCCAGATGATGAGTTTCCCTGTCTCTCGAAGTCGGGAGTCGGGAGGCTATAAATGCCTCCACATTTTGCCACCTTGAAAGAGCTGCAGTCACTCTTTCTTCCGAGCCATGCACTGTATCTACAACATTCCATAGCTCCGACTGTGAGAATATTCTTCTTGGTTTTTTCGGTAAAGTCACGTAGAATGGAAATAATAAAAAAATAATCAAAATAAAACATAATAAAATAATTTTCACGACGTTTTGGCTACAACGCAAGCAGCCGTCCTCAGGTGAAGAACAGGTCTGTCGATAAGACAGAGTCTGAATGACACGTCCTGGGCTTGGAGCGTCTATTTAAGCTGGGAGGGAGGAGGAAGAGCGCCTTGACAAAATAATTTGCATATCAAGAGGAATTTTAGCATATTTATGTAATATTACACTATGTATTATTCTACCAACCCTATTGCACACCACACTGCTGCATATTCACCATACAACTACGACAATTTTATACCATTTATTATTATACAATCCACTATATTGGCGACACTTCAGTCAGCTTAGCAGATGTTGGGCTCACCCCACTTCCTGTGCGGAGGTCTTCTTCCACCTCCTCTTCATTAATTTCCCTTCTCAGCCCCGAGGCTTTGAGGATTCTCTATCATTGTGCTATCCTCTGTCGTTTGCTTCATTGGGTGATGCCGCTTGCCCCTCCATGGAAGGCCTTCCATTGTTCTCGCCCAGGTCACCCACCGCAGTTTGATCAGTGGGGTCCTATACGTAGAAGGGAAATAATAAAATAATAAAATATAGTAAAATAAAATTCTCACGACGTTTCGGCCACAACACAATCAGCCGTCCTCAGGTGAAGAACAGAGCTGTCGGAAAGACAGCGTCCCGACAGCGTGATAATTTTTATTTTATTATGTTTTATTTTTATTATTGTATTATTTCCCTTCTACGTGACTTTACCGAAAGAATCAAGAATATGAATCCCTACAGTTACGAAAGCTTTAAATCGAAATACAGTGGGGTCCTGTTTGGGCCCCTCCGTGTTCTCGGCTGCTCGTGTTTCCTGGGAGCCGTCGGCCGTCTCACTGGGCGCGTCGTCGAGGTCTGAAGTGCGACCCTCTTCACCTTCAAGTTCAAGTTATTTTTTTAGGTATAGCCCTGTGAGCCATTCGGCTCTTGAATCGGGTGTAACCGCAACAAACAAACAAAAAACATCTTAAAGTAAATATGTGACTAAGTGCAAACAGAAAATCCAAGAAAAGACAGCAAAATATTTGCAGAAAAAAAATCACCGTACACCAACGCTGTGTGCAAAAATCCCAGTGGGATGCAAGTCAAACAACCAACCTGTTTCCTTCGCCACTCCACAGATTGCGTTTCCCCCCGCTTCTATTTCAAGCTCCTGATTTTCTGTAGGCGCCCTGCGCCTGGTCTTGGTTCCTGCACGGGGGCTTTTTCCCTGTGCGTGTCCCACCTCTAGGGGCATCTGGCATGGTGAAGACCCCCGACTTTGCCACCAGTGCTCTCCACATCTCCCCCCAGGCGTGGGTGCGATGTCCGACTCCAACTCTGGGAGATCTTTAAAAGGACCGAGCTCATCCCCACTTGACTCTGGAGATGTGGGAGTGTGTCGTAAATTTTCTCTTCAGAGGTCCGGCTGTCAATGACAGCTGGGTGGCTGGCTGAGCCTCAGTCTCCGTGGCAGTAGCCGGAGTTGGAGCGGGGTCCACTGCCGTCTCGCGTGAGCTCTGTGGTGAGGGCTCTCTCCTGAGTCATCCGTTGGGTGTTTTTCTTTACCACTCTTTTCCGCAGCCTCATTGCTGTTGGATTGGGCATTTGCCGTCAACGGGCAGTGTTTTTTTAACATTCACTCAACTCATTCACTTACCCACTCGCCTTCCCATTCACACACTCACTCACTCTTCCACTGAAATCCACAACCACAAACTCACCCTCTCATTCACCTACCCACTCGCTTTCCCACTCACTCACTCACCCGCCGACTCATTCACCCTCCCACCGCGACACTCACTCACTCATTGACCTACCCACTCACCTTCCCACTCTCCCTCCGACCACAGCACTCATCCTGCAACTTACCGATTGACCACAACAGTCGCCCTTCCACTCATCCACCCACACTCGCCTTCCCACTCACCATCCTACCACGACATCACCCTCTCACCCGCCCACCCTTCTACCCCACGCTCCCACTCACCTAACCACCCACTCACCAACCTACCACGACACTCACCCTCTCACCCGCACATCCACCCTCCTAATACACGCTCCCACTCACCTAACCACCCACTCACCATCCTATCACGACACTCACCCTCTCACTCACCCACCCACACACTCACCCACCCTACACACTCACCCACCCTACACACTCACCCACCTTCCGACGACACACTCCCACTCACCTAACCACCCACTCACCATCCTACCACGACACTCACTCTCTCACCCACCCTCCTACCCCACGCTCCCACTCATCCCACCCACCGACCCACGCACAATCGACGCGTCGAACGGCGCTTGCGTGGTGCCTTTGACCACGTGGCGATTCCATTTCATTTACGCTCGGACCGCGCCGTGTGGTGGCCTTGACGACACAAACCTCGATCGGGGATCGCCACGTGGCCTAACCCACGAATTGAACGACGAACAACGAATGAACGAATGAATGAAGGCCCTTCTATCTCCCCCACACACACACAGACGGGGGTGCCGCTGCTGCTGTGCGTGGCTGCTTGCGGGATGGTGGCGGCTCTGCTCCTCTACGGCTCCCTGCTCCTCCAGGAGGACTTGATGGCCGTGGGGGGCCACCCCGGGGGTCCCCTCTCCCGCCCGGCGTCCCCCCACGGGGAGAGGGGCATGGACCCCCGCGGAGTCTACATCCTGCCGGGGTACGCCTCCATCCACGGGCAGCAGGTGCGGCCCACTCCACGTTACCATGGGTTGTGAGGTTGTTGTTTTTGTCGGATGATGGCGATGCTGCCGTTGATGATGTTGATGATGATGACGAGGCTGCTGATACTGCTGCTGCTGATGATATTGATTGCGATGATGCTGATGATATTTGTGCTGCTGCTGCTGACGATGCTGCTGATGATGACGAGGCTGCTGATACTGCTGCTGCTGCTGATGATGAGGCTGCGGATATTGTTGCTGATGATGATAAGGCTACTGATACTGCTGCTGATACTGCTGCTGATGATGATGACGCCCATGCTGTTGCTAACAATAGGATGATGTTGATGATGCCGATGATGCTGCTGACGATGCTGATGATGATGCCCTCGACCTCGGAACCCGTCGACCTCCTACCAACCCCCCCAACCCACCCCCAACCCAACTCCCCCCCCCCCCAACCCCCCCCAACCCCCCAACCCCCCGCCAATACAACCCCCCAACCCAAACCCCCCCCAACACCACCCCCCCTACCCAATCCACTCCCAACCCCCCCAACCCACCCCCGCAACCCAACCCACCCCCACCGCCCGCCTTTCACAGCCGCTGCGCATGCGCTGTGGCGACTGCGCCCTCATCACGAGCTCGGGCCACCTCCTGGGGGCGGGCCTGGGCCCTGCGGTGGACAGCACCGAGTGCGTCATCCGCATGAACGACGCCCCCACGCGCGGCTACGAGGGCGACGTCGGCTCGCGCACCACCCTGCGCGTGGTGGCTCACTCCAGCGTGGCTCACCTCGTCAAGGTGGGTGGGGGAGGGGCGGGGGAGGGGCGGGGGAGGGGGTGGGGGGAGGGGCTGGGGTTTGTGACGTGGAGGTCGTCTCGTCCACATGCTGTCACGGGGAGCGGTCTAGCGTACTTCCACTACTACTATTACTACTATTATTTTACTATTACTACAATTATTTTACTATTACTACTATTACTACTACTATTGTTTTACTATTCCTACTATTATTTTACTATTACTACTATTACTACTACTATTATTTTACTATTACTACTATTATTTTACTATGACTACTATTACTACTACTATTATTTTACTATTAATTTACTATTACTACTACTATTTTACTATTACTACTATTACTATTATTTTACTATTACTACTATTATATTACTATTACTACTATTACTACTATTCTTACTATTATTCTTACTATGATTACCACTACCCCCCCCCGTCCCCCGCCACGGCAGCACCACGGCCACTTGCTCTGGCCCGGCAACGCGACGCACCCCGGCGCCGTGGTGGTTTTCTGGGGCCCCTCGGACCGCATGCGACCAGGCGGCAAGGGCCCCACGTTCGGCCTCCTGCGGCGGCTCGCCAGGGCCGTGCCTCGCCTGCGGGCCCACATCGTGACGCCCCGCAAGATGCGCACCTTCGACGAGCTCTTCAGGCACGAGACGGGCAAGGACAGGTGAGCGGGCGACGGTCTGATGATGATGATTGGTTGGTTGGTGGTGGTTGGTGGTGGTGGTCTTGTTGTTGTTGTTGTGGTTATCATCTTGTCACTCTTAAGGAGGGATTCGGGTTTTTGTAGTCGCCTCAAACCTCTCTATACACCCCCCCACCCACTGCTATGCACGATCGCTCCCCCCCACCTCCCCCTCCTCCTCACACCCCCCACCTCCTCCCCCCCACCTCCTCCCCACCCACCTCCTTCCCCCCCCATCTTCTCCTCCACACCTCCACACCCCCACCTTCTCTCCCCCCCACCTCCTCCCCCCCACCTCATCCCCCTCCCACTTCCTCTCCCCCCTTGCCACGAAGCCCACCCAGAGCCACAACAGCCCCACCCCGTGTCAGTGGTGGGGCCTCAACAGAGCGAGGCCGCCTCTGAAGAAGAAGAGGCGGAGAGGGTCTACACAGATTCTGGTCTTCGGGGCAGAGGTCGCAACCGGGTACCCGATACCCATACCCGACCCGATACCCGGCTACCCGTACCCGACCGGGTACGGGTACGGGTAGCCGTTTGCGACCCTGGTGCGGCCGGGTACGGGTACGGGTAGGCCGTGATTCACTGGTGAGTAACCGTTTGTCACTCATTTCGGGTAGGGTACGGGTACGGGTAGGGAACGGGTACACATACCCGGCTGGGTACGGGTACGGGTACCCGTTTGCGACCCTGGTGCGGCCGGGTACGGGTAGGGGTAAGGAATCAAAACCCGTTTGCGACCTCTGCTTCGGGGTGAAGCCACCGAACCGCTACCCCCACTAACCCCGCCCCTACCCACAATGACCTCGCCCCTACCCCCCGACCCTGACACCTGCTGTACGCATGCTCTCCCCATGGCCGTGTGGATTTCTTTTCTGGATCCTCCGGTTTTTCTCTTTCGACATTTAGAAACATGCGTTGAAACCATTCAGGTAATTTTGCTGCTATACATGTCCACTTTGTTGTTGAGCTATCATTTGTGGCCAGGTCACTTTTGACAAATAAGTGAATACCTCAGTGGGCTTTGCCTGGTAGGATGGGGATGGTTTAGTTTAATGTGTATGTGTTTTGGTGATATAGTTACCTTTATTCTACTTTGCACTCCTATCGTGGTTTTGCTATGTGTTTATAATACAGGTTTTTGGGTTAGATCGCATAAATATATAAATGTGTCATTAAAACCCGCCACCACCCGACACAGCCAACCAGTAAGGGTTGTCACGTAAACAGAACGTGGCCAATTCGTCACTAGTACAGCACACACTGGTTGTGTTGGAGAGTCAAGCCACAACAATGTTGCATCGGGTTTTACCGACACATATATTTACGTGATCTAACCCAAAAACTTCTATTATGGATGATATTGGTCGCGAAAGCCTACGTCTTAAACTGCATTGTGTTTGTTGTTGTAACGTTCTTACCCGCGCCTCCTGGAGATCTGTTAAAAAAGAGTTGTAAAGCTCATCGGATTACTTCAGTATTAATCAATATTCTGATTCTGATTGAAATGAATTTCTGGTGCAAGTGTAGTGAGTCATTCAGAGACACTATTTAGGAGGCAACAACGTTTATTCTACACTTCATGCAACATCGTTACACACGTGACTAAATACATCCATTCTCACTCTTGTTACGCATAGGACCACAATACACCTATTTCTCTTTCATACGGGAAAACTATAATCGGGCCAGAGCAGCCAACGTGCCGCCTGACCCACGATGACGAAGACGTAGCACTTAGGTTCCACTTCACCTGCAGACAGCCCGGATCGGTGATCGGGGCTTCCCTTTTATCTCTCTCGGCACGGCCTGGCTCCACCCTCGGCCGCGCCCTACGTCCAGAATATTCCCGACGGTTCCAGGCTACACCATCACCTGTTCCCTTTCTGGCTCCGCCCATAACTACGCCTTTTTCGGGAACTCTCCAGCTATTCCCCCGTGCCCCCTCGTTCACTTTTGGCCCACATTACTTACCCCGGCCCATCACGTGCTTATCCCGGTGTCGGGGTGACTCGTCCTCACATGACCCCTAGCACCAGCCGCCCCCCTATCGCACTCTCCCAGTGGCGCACTCTGTGGTGATACCCTGCGGCGTTGGTGAAGGCTGCAATCCCCTACTTTGGGGCCGTCCATAAATGACGTCACGCGCCTAGGGGGGGTGGGGGGGGGGGTCAGACATTTGTGAAGAGAGGGGGAGGGGGAGTTTGAGAAATGTGACGTCAAATTAAAATGCGCAACTTCAAATAAATGTTAATTAAATATAATTGTTATAACAACACAAATTTTGATAAATTTCGATTTTCATTATGAACTATTTGATTACTTAAATTTACTAAGGTCACCTTTTATTTATTCCATGAAGGAGCATTTTGCTTCTCCATGGGAGAATGGAGAAGCATACATTTAGTAAATGTTTTAAATTATTGTTATTAAACATTTTGATTCTAATGTTTCTAGCAGGGCTTTTCATTCTGTGGAATTAATATGTGATTGTTATAATTGTACTCTTCATTTTGCTTCGTTCTACTACAAAGTTTTAAGTATTTTTTTTATAGTTATAATTACATTTAATATTTTGTAATTATAAGCTAATTTCAATATAATATTGTGAACATCTGCAGTTTTAGTTAGACGTTGAATATTTTCAAGTGAATTTCTGCTTAATTTCAGCTTTCCAACGCCTCCTTTTTAATAAATGTTTTCTCCTACAGCATCAGAGTGCAGCGCCACATTAAATACGCACTACAATGACAATAGTTAAAAGTGATTTGAAGCATGTTTTATTTTCAAAATCGAAGTATGGTTTTGGGGGGAGGGGCAGAGCTTTGTGACGTCATATTTGAGGGGGGGTCTGACTTTTTGTGACGCCGTGTGACGAGGGGGGGAGGGGGGGGGGGTCAAAAATCGGCCAAAATCGCGTGACGTCATTTATGGACGGCCACTTTGTCGGTAGGACTCATCAGCTTTCCTCCTGCTAGCACCCAGTACCATGCCCCTAGTGGCCCACTGAGTGGTACTGCATGGTGTGTTCGCCTCTGCGCCTGTTTCAACGGCACTTGGCGCTACGGGCCGTAGTGATCCATTTACCGTCACTACACAAGTGTGCAAACACCAGCAATAGGGGGTTAAATCGTGGGTCTGGACGAGATAACAGCCACCAGCTCCCCAACGCTCTGTGAAAAGGCTACATGCACAGATATGTACTTGCACACACACACACGTGTACCTACACACGTGGGTGTGTGCAAGTACACACGAGGCTCATGTGCATCCCGTATATGATTGTGAATACATGTGTGTGGCATTGTGCGTGTTCCCACAGGCAGTGCCGGATTAAGCTAGTGCGGGACCTGTAGCATATGTTGTTATAAAGGGGGCCTAAATAAAAAAAAACACGTAAATATTAAAACATAAATTTTTCACTTGCACAGAAAAGTCATTGTATTTTTTAAATTTGCTACACAGCCAGATAATACGACAAATCGCTTACCTCAAACACCCCGTCGTTAATAATAACTGAAGGCACTATAGTACTATACTAATAGAGCAAGTGCAGAACCACTGAAACGGAATGGATAGCTTGAATGCATTTAGCGTGGGGACCTTTAAAGTGCGGGGCCCGTAGCATATGTAGCTACTTTTGCAACTAGGATAATCCGGCACTGCCGGTCTACATAGGTGCTGCTCGCTAACAGCCACTTGCCCCAACAGTCTGTTAAGGCTCCACTGGGGACATTTATCTTTTATCTTTTGTGCCCACAGGGTGGGGAGCGGTGGTGTAGCGGTTAGAGCGCTGCGCTACGAACTCGGCGAGCCGAGTACGATTCCCGCTCACGGCCAACACCGGCGACAAATATCTGAACCGGTCCTGGGTCTCTCCTAGGTCGACTCAGCCTCAAATGAGTACCTGGTGCGGTGTGTAAACATCGTCACTGGGGAGACAAATGCAACCGGGCATGGTGCTGGCCACCCACCCCCTCGTGTGCCGTGCCGACCTTCATAGGTGCTCGCTAACAGCACTTGCCCCAACAGTCCGTTAAGGCTACACGGGGGATCTTTGTCTTTGTGCCCACAGGAAGTCATCGCAGTCCTGGCTGAGCACTGGCTGGTTCACGATGGGCATCTCTCTGGACGTGTGCGACCGCCTGCACGTGTATGGGATGGTGCCCCCCAGCTACTGCAAGTGAGCCAGTGGCCCCCCACTCCATCACCCAACACAGCCGCCCCCCCTACAATACACCACGCAACACAGCCCCCCACGATACACCAATGATGATGACGCCGATGGTGCCGATGGTGACGATGATGACGAGGACGACGATTCTAGATTTGAAGCTTTCGTGACTGCAAGGATTCATATTCTTAGGTAGTTTTGGTAAAGTCACGTAGGTACAAAAATAATAATAAAATAAAATAATAATGAATGAAAATAACTCAATTAAATCACGACGTTTCGGGAAGCAACACAAGCCTCCGTCATCAGGTGTAACTGCTCCAGTAAAATTACTGTAGCGTATGAAGAGAGCTATTCAAGACACGTGTTTTTTTTTATAGAGGGTGCTGGGCAGTGAGGAGCCAATGAGTGGGGGGGAGATATAACCATCTCGGTGCTTGTACACTGCATGTACGGTTATTAACCATGTAAAAAAGATGTAACTCCTCGTCAAAGCCACCTCTTAGACACACTTCAGCTGTTGTGCTTACACTTCGTAGTCCCCACCTGAAGATGGATGTAATTAACCAAGTTTAACTTTAGCTGCCGTGCAGTTTACTGCTAAACAGCCATGATAATTGGTATTTTACCCTTCTATCTGGCAACAAAACTGACACATTTTTTACAAGGAGTCATGTTTGCATAGACCACAATACCTGCAGCCATAATGCAAACAAAAAACATAACTCTGATGATATATGCACTGTCCTTGAAGTTGATTGGTCCACGCCCGAGACAGCTATCTTTTGTGCATTATGGCTGCAGGTATTGTGGTCTATGCAAACATGACTCCTAGTAAAAAAAAAAGGTGCCAGTTTTGTTGCCAGATAGAAGGGTAAAAAAACCAATTATCATATTTTTTACTGGCAAATGAGGTTCCAATGGTGCTAAACAGCCAGTTTATATTTACTCTCATAATCATATCCATATTGATTCTTATAATTTTAGTCATATCCAGCCTGATACACCACCATCACGAAGGAAAAAGTCTGATTTACAACTGTGTTTCATTCCCATTCGCCATTCAGCGTCCAAGCACCGTACATGCAGTGTACAAGCACCGTACATGCAGTGTACAAGCATGCAGTGTACAAGCACCGTACATGCAGTGTACAAGCACCGTACTTGCAGTGTACAAGCACAGTACATGCAGTGTACAAGCACCGTACATGCAGTGTACAAGCACCGTACATGCAGTGTACAAGCACCGTACATGCAGTGTACAAGCACAGTACATGCAGTGTACAGCACCGTACATGCAGTGTATAAACACCGTACTTGTAGTGTACAAGCACCGTACATTCAGTGTACAAGCACCGTACATGCAGTGTACAAGCACCGTGCATGCAGTGTACAAACACCGTACTTGCACTGTACAAGCACCGTACATGCAGTGTACAAACACCGTACTTGCAGTGTACAAGCACCGTACATGCAGTGTACAAGCACCGTACATGCAGTGTACAAGCACCGTACATGCAGTGTACAAGCACCGTACATGCAGTGTACAAGCACCGTACATGCAGTGTACAAATACCGTACATGCAGTGTACAAACACCGTGCATGCAGTGTACAAGCACCGTACATGCAGTGTACAAGCACCGTACATGCAGTGTACAAGCACCGTACATGCGGTGTACAAGCACCGTACATGCAGTGCACAAGCACCGTACTTGTAGTGCACAAGCACCGTACATGCAGTGTACAAGCACCGTACATGCAGTGTACAAGCACCGTACTTGCAGTGTACAAGCACCGTACTTGCAGTGTACAAACACCGTACATGCAGTGTACAAGCACCGTACATGCATTGTACAAGCACCGTACATGCAGTGTACAAGCACCGTACATGCAGTGTACAAGCACCGTACTTGCATTGTACAAGCACCGTACATGCAGTGTACAAGCACCGTACATGCAGTGTACAAGCACCGTACATGCAGTGTACAAGCACCGTACATGCAGTGTACAAACACCGTACATGCAGTGTACAAGCACCGTACATGCAGTGCACAAGCACCGTACATGCAGTGCACAAGCACCGTACATGCAGTGTACAAGCACCGAGATGGTTAACTCTTCCTCCCCCCGACTCATTGACTCCTCCCTGCCCAGCACCCTATATAAAACACACGTGTCTTGAATAGCTTTTTTCACACGCTACAGTAATTTTACTGGAGCAGTTACACCTGATGACTGAGGCTTGTGTTGCTTCCGAAACGTCGTGATTTAATTGAGTTATTTTCATTTCTTTTTTTATCTACGTGACTTTACCGAAAAAACCTAAGAGTATCACGATGACAACAACAACAATCACGATGATGACGACGGCGAGGATGTTAATGACGAAGACGATGATGATGATGTCTTCGACAATGACGATGATGACAATGATGACGACGATGGCTTCGGCAATGACGATGATGACGACGACAACGATGACGATGATGGCTTTCGACAATGACCACAATGACGATGACACCGATCACGATGATGGCTTCGACAATGACGACAATGACGACGACAACGATGACGACGATGGCTTCGACAATGACGACAATGACAACGATGACGACGATGGCTTCGACAATGACGACAATGACAATGACAACGATGACGACGATGGCTTCGACAATGACGACAATGACGACGACAACGATGACGATGATGGCTTCGACAATGACGACAATGACAATGACAACGATGACGATGATGGCTTCGACAATGACGACAATGACGATGACAATGATGACGATGATGGCTTCGACAATGACGACAATGACGACGACAACAATGACGATGATGGCTTCGACAATGACGACGATGACGACGACACCGATCACGATGATGGCTTCGACAATGACGACGATGACGATGACAACGATGACGATGATGGCTTCGACAATGACGATGACTGATGCCCTCTCTGCGCGCGTGGCGCTAGGTCTCCCGCGCACCGGCGCGTGCCGTACCACTACTACGAGCCGGCAGGTGCCGACGAGTGCTCCATGTACATCTGGCATGAGCGCGGGCGCCGTGGGAGCCACCACCGCTTCCTCACCGAGAAGCGGGTGTTCGGACGCTGGGCCAGGGCCTACAACATCACCTTCTCGCACCCGGCCTGGCACGAGTGACGTGGGGGCACCCACCCAGGACTCATCTGGACCCACTTTGACCCACCTAGACCGACTTAGTCCCACCAGTACCCGCCTAGACCCACCAGGACCCAGCAGGACCCACCCAGACCCACCAAACCCATCACGACCCAGCTAAGCTCACCAGAACCTACCAGAACCCACCTAGACACACCGGGACCCAACTAGACCCATCAAAAGCCATCAAGACCCACGCAAACTCACTAGAACCTACCAGAATCCACCAGAAACCCCACCAGAACCCACCTAGACCCACCCAGACCCACCCACACCCACATGGACCCACCTAGCCCCACCAAAACCTACCAAAACCCACCAACACCCACCAGAACCCACCAGGACGTTCCAGGACCCACCGGGACCTACCAGAAACCCCCAGAACCCACCAGGACCTACCAGCACCCACAAGAACCCACCGGGACCCACCAAGACCAACCAACGCGAACCATTGTGTCACCGCCCTCTCACACACGCGGTGAGTGTGCCAAAAAACAGTCAGTCCCAACGATATTTTTGAAGCGCCAGTGAAAGATGGAGACCCATAGGCTCACACAGACTGAGTTGTGATTAAGCCGGGTTCTGAAGGGAAGTAAGTGAGTTTGATGGTCTCAGACCGACTATATTTTTGAAACGCCAGTGAAAGATAAGGCCTCACATGGAGACCCATAGGCTCACACAGACTGCGTTGTGAGTGAGTTGATGGTCTCAGACCGGCCACAAATGACTGCACAAAAAAGGCATCAAATGAAATTTGGTTTTGTGCTTTATTTTGCCAAATTACAGCTCAGAGAACTAAACAAATATCGTTTTGACCGCCAGGTGATTGACATTTCAGGAGGTTGTGGGTTCGATCCCGACCCTGACGATGCTTGCTGTATATTTGGAGTTTGCACGTCTCTCTCCCCGTTGTGGCCGCGTGGATTTTTCTCTTCATAAACGCATAGAGTTAACTTGCGTTGATAAAGTATTTGGCTCCTGCTATGAATGTCCACGTGATGATAAGCCACTTCGTTGAGCTTGTGGCCGGGTCGCTGCTTGACAGCTCCATGGGGCCTTACCTGGTAAAACAAAAACAAACTAAACTTTTAGTTTAGATTACACTGGTCAACACACCTTTTCTGGCATAAGGTATTCCAACGGTTTTAAGGTAATTTTGGGGTGCTGATTCCAAATCTGGCATCAGTTTTTGTCTATCACATCAGGTTTTTGAGATATCAAATATTGCATTTTCAATAACAACTGCAGAATAGAAATATTAAATAAATGTGGATATCTACATAAAATGATATTATAAACACACTATCCTAAAAATACAGCACCATATTTTAACACTAAACCAGTCACTGATTCGCAAGAACTTGCAATTATAAGTGACAGAGTTAATTTCGGGTAAAATCAATGAAAATGGGGTATGCCGATAGCATAAAAATGAGATGTGATAGAGCAAATCTGAGATCAGATTTGGAATCGGCACCCTGAAAATAGTCTAAAACAGCTGCAAAAGTCCAGGCCAGAAAAAAAAGTTTTTTTTTGTTGACCAGTGTTATGCACCGCACCAGGTAACACCTTTTTTTAAAAGACTCAGTCGACCTAGAGGAGGCCCAGGCCCGGTCCAGGTATTCGTCATCGATGTTGGCCGTGAGCGGCAATGGAACTTGGGTGGTCCTCCCGCTCGGCTCGTAGCGCAGTGCAGCCGCAAGTTAAGAATCGACGTGCATTCAGAATATTTGGCCCCATACTCTTTGGCTCTTTCGGTAAAGTCACGTGCTTAGAAATAAAATGAAATGAAACAAATCACGACGTTTCGATCGCAACACAAGCGGTCGTCACCATTAGCCAGGCTGATGATGATTAGTCAGGCTAATGATGACGACAGCTTGTCTTGCGATCGAAACGTCGTGATTTGGTTCATTTCATTTTATTTCTAACTAGGTGACTTTACCGAAAGAACCAAAGCGTATGGATTCTTGCGGTCACGAAAGCTTCAAATCAAGATTTGGCTCCTGCTGTGAGTGTCCACGTGACGATGAGCCCCTTCGTTGAGCTATCATTTGTGGCCGGGTCGTTACCTGCTACAATATGTTGTTGTTGTTGTCATTTAGTCTTAAGTGTGTCTTAGAGAAGTCACTTGAGGAAGGGGTTCTCAAGGTAGCTCCGTGATGTCCAAGGGGGGCCGTGTCCAGTGCAGTACAGCAACAAGGTTCAAACCATCGGTGAGAGGTCTGCAGGTGAACAAGTGCAGCCAGATCCTTCTTGAGTCCACTGCTGGATGAACGCCTTCCATCGCCGTGCGGGTCTGGGGGGGGGGGGGGTTATTTAACCATACTTCACCACGCCGGTCATTGCTGATTGGTGAAGGCGGGTAGCACAGACGTAGGTAGCATAGAAGTACGGTATAATAAGAGAAAAAGTTAACTCGTAACGCCGCGCCACCACCACCGCACGGTACCAGCTCATCGCTCTCGTAGAGAGAAGAGAAAGAGGAGACGACCCAGAGAGAGAGGGGACGACTCAGAGAGAGAGAGAGTGAACGACTCAGAGAGAGAGAGAGGGGGGACGACTCAGAGAGAGAGAGGACGACTCAGAGAGAGCAAGAGGACGACTCAGAAAGAAAGCGAGAGGACGCCTTAGAGAGAGAGAGAGAACGACTCGGAGAGAGAGAGGACAACTCAGAGAGAGAGAGGGAACGACTCAGAGGGATAGAGGACGACTCAGAGAGAGAGAAGACGATTCGGAGGAGGCGTCAGGGGGAGGAACCACAGACAAGGAGCGGGAAGAAAGCAACAGCAGCCACGCGGTAGCGAGGAGCCGGCGCTACCAACGATCGCCTAAGTTCTGCGATTCTCCACGTGTTAAGGTGTCATGGGCCAATGGTTGAGTGTTCACGTGCGGGAGGAAACCGAGAGCGTGCGCGGAGAAAAGCCACGCTAAGGCAGCGAGGGGGAAACACTCTATCCCGCACAGCTGAATCAGGTGGAGCTCACACATTTTTTGTTTTACTGTATCGCCATTCACCTGGCGATGGCAGGTGAATGCGGTTCCTCCTCGACGCCCCACGGGAAGGGAGTTTCACACAACATCTGCGCGTGTTCCACCAACCCTCGCTGCTGCTGCGTCCACAGCGCTGGATCACAGGCAGCCACGTGTAGCGTAGCCACCACCGCCGCCGCCGCCGCCACGGACTGCTGTTTGTACACGGTCCGGTCATCGCCCATGCGAGCACTTCTAGCCAGGCTCAAGCCTGCTTGAGCTTGCGACGAGCCCCTGGCGCCCACGAACGGTGTGTGTGCAGAGCTGCGATGTTCGTGTCGCGCATGGGTTAGGGTCAAGGGTTATGATCAGGTTTAGTGTTAGGGTCAGGTTTAGGGTCAGGGTTAGGGTCAGGGTTAGGGTCAGGGTTATGGTCAGGGTTAGTATTAGGGTCAGGTTTAGGGTCAGGGTTATGGTCAGGTTTAGTGTTAGGGTCAGGTTTAGGGTCAGGGTTAGGGTCAGGGTTATGGTCAGGGTTAGGGTCAGGGTTAGTATTAGGGTCAGGGTTAGGGTCAGGGTTAGGGTCAGGGTTAGTGTCAGGGTCAGGATTAGGGTCAGTGTCAGAGTTAGGGTCAGGGTTAGGGTCAGGGTTAGAGCCAGGGTTAGGGTTAGTGTCACGGTTAGGGTCAGGGTTAGGGTCAGGGTTAGGGTTAGTGTCAGGGTTAGGGTCAGGGTCAGGGTGAGGGTCAGGTTCAGAGTTAGGGCCAGGGTCAGGGTTAGGGTCAGGGTCATGGTTCAGCGCTGATGAACTCTGCCACCGCGGGTCTGAACAGTCCCACGCCGAAAGTGCATTATTTATACTCGCTTGGATTAAAACACAGGAAGATTATTGTTGTTGTTGCTACGACTAAAGATATATTATGATACGATATATACTAGAGAGAGATGTGTATTTTGGAACAAGAGATAATGAGGCAGACCTTTTAAAGTGACCGACGGATGTAGTTTTCATAGAGGATATATTTTGAGAGAGCCGGGAGGACACGGGCCGAGGACGTCACAACTTGCGTGGCGCTCTCCGCAGACTAAGCGTTCGACGTTTCGCGCTGGGACCATCTTCTTTCGTCAGCCCCCCCTCCCACTACCACCCCCTGCTGCACGCGATGGGGTCACGCGGGGATCGAGCGGTGGCGCGTTCTTCAGCTCGTTGTCGAAGCAGCAGCAGCAGAGGTTCGCGGTTCAAACCCCGCCCGGCGGCTGCCCTGGTTAATACTCGAAAGAGTTTGCCTCGCGCAAATGAGCGTTGAGCATTCGAGGCATGATTGGTGCTTATTTCCAATCGACAACCCTAAGCTAGTTGGGGGACATTCCACGTTCCTATGGCGGGGGCGGATGGGGCGGGGGGACACATCGCTGTTTGACTTCCCCACAGAGTGGTCCTTATTTTATCGACCCGCGAGGGATGATGGGCTCTGATTTAACTTCCCAACCGGGGTTTGAACTCGCAACCTTGCGATCCTGAGCTGCTCGCTCTGGCAATAAAAAAAAAATAGATAATAATAATATAATTTTATACACATAATATATCTCCCAAATGCCGTTTTATGGAATCTGAAATTTGTACTCTTAATCTCCTGAAGGAATGTATTACAGATTGTATTGAGCAGTTTGCAATAGCTTGTCTGAGTTTTCAGGAATAGGGGTTTGTGGAATTGATTGATTAATTAAGGTCACTAACAACTTTGCACGGATTGCTAAAATGCTGGACAATTGATGATTTGGTCGTAAGATGGTGCATGCTGTTATCTGGCATATTTAGACTAAACTAGCACAGACGCGCGCCGGTTTACACACGTGCACACAAGACACGGACTCGCTTGTACAGTGGACGACTCTGCAAGCAGTTGCTCTCAATTGCTTGCAATTTGGTTGCTTGCAACCGACTCTGTCTCACGCGTGGACGTCTCTGCTAAGGGTGGCGTGCAACTGTATTGCTTGCGTGTGGACACCTCTGCGATTGTCTGTGAGCAACTGCACAAATTGGTTGCGCGGAACCGAATTGCACACCGTATGCGGATGCCTCCGCGACTGGTTGCGATCGGTTGCTTGCAATCGGTTGCTTGCAACTCGGTTGCGTTCAACTTAATTTGTTTACAGGGAGATGCACTCGGCAAATTTGCAGCGATGCTTTTCAGGACCACGCGACACATTTGCGCATAATAGAGACATTTTTTGGGGGGGGGTTAGGTGGCGTAAACATGAATGTGTCGTGAAACTCGCCACCACCACCACCCGACACGCATCCAACTAGTAAAGGGTTTGTCACGTCAACAACACGTGGCCGATTCGTTACTAGTTCATGCGCTAACCGGTTGTGTGGTGGAGAGTAAAACCCACAACAACCTTGATTTAAAGCTTTCGTGACTGCAGGGATTCATATTCTTGGTTCTTTCGGTAAAGTCACGTAGAAGGAAAATAATAAAATAATATTAATATTTTTCTATATTAATATTATTTTATAATTTCCCTTCTACGTGACTTTACTGAAAGAACCAAGAATATGAATACCCACTGCAATGTTTACAATTCGAGTGCCTGGTGACGTTTCGCCGGTAATTGCAACGACCAGCATCATCAGGCGGGACAGCCGCAGGAGTTTTGGAGAAATCCTCCTTGTTTCCATCTTAAATAGACGGGGGGGGGGGGGGGGGATAAATGTGATTGGGGGGTGGTGGTGCGTGTTGACCATACTTCACCACTGCGAGTATGTGAGGCTTGGTGAAGTGGATGTGGTCGTGAGCCTGGGCATCACCATCATTAATGATGATGATCATCATCATAATAATCTGCACAATTATCAACCAGTAATTGTTGTTATTGACATCAATCACCATCATCCGCCAATTATCAATCAACAATGGCACTTTGTCATTATCATACGTTATCAATTATACGTCAACCACCACCGTCATCAATCATCTTCATCAATTATCAAACGGTAATCATCATCAACCATCGTGGTCAATCAATCATCGACCATCAGTCACCATCAATCATCATCGTCGATCGACCATATCACTCATCAGCATCAAACATCATCACCGTCAATAGACCTCATCACTCATTGGCATCATCGTCAACAGACATCATCAGCATCACCGTCAACAGACCTCATCACTCATCAGCATCACACATGGTCATCATCGTCAACGTCCCAAGGCTTTCTCACCCCTGCCCACGATAACTCGTCTGGCCGTGTCCCTTCATTACGGCTCCGGCCCTGCCTGGGCATCTCACGAGGAGGCCGGCTCAGGCATTGAGCCCACCGATTGCCTCCAAAGCGGCCGCGTTGCGAGTGCGAGTGGAGCAGCCAAGGAGGCGCATTGCCCCCCCACCCCTCTCCTCCCCCTTCGCCCCCCGTGTTGCCCAAAGTAACGAGTTGGGCACCAGAGATCTATATTCTTGGGTTTTTTCGGTAAAGTCACGTAGGTAAAATTTTTTTAATTACAATTATTAAAAGTAAAATAAAATAAAAATATTTTTTATTTTATTTTACTTTTCTTAATTTTTTAAAATTACAATTATTAAAAGTAAAATAAAAATATTTTTTATTTTATTTTACTTTTATTAATTTTAATTAAATTTTTTTACCTACGTGACTTTACCGAAAAAAAACCCAAGAATATGAATCCTTGCAGTCACGAAAGCTTCAAATCTAGACACCAGAGATCTGTTTGCAATAACAGCGTAAAGCAGGGGGTGGGGAACCTTGATTCT